CACTGTCTCAAAAGCCTGCATTTATCTTTCTGTGTATTATGTCTACCTTAACACAATACCTCATGTATTGTCCTTGCTTTAGGAGACCTTGTGTGTAAATGACAGAATGGAGATAAACAGACAAGAGATAATTATACACAGATGTGTGTCACATGGAGCTTTGCAGTGGTTTTCACAGACTTAAATAAATTGATTTAAAACTGGTTTTAATTACACCAGTAGGACTGCAGTGTGCCGATAGGGCATCAGTCAGACCTCAGCTTCTGTGTTTTGACATAGCCAAGGGGCTTTTAGCGTGTGATCTACTGATGTGTTATGCAATGTATAGGTGTGTTAACGTACATTATCAGCTGAGTAAGGCAGTGAGGCAAGTCAAAAAACCAAAACAAAATCACATGAAGAGCCAGACTCTGTTCTCATTTACACTTACATAATTGAAATGGATATAATTTAGGACTTACACCACTGTCTGGAAAAAGATTGGCTAACAAACTGATTTTGTGATGTATTTTATAACAATGTATTTCATAACAATAGAGCAGCATTAAGTAGAAGTTATGAAGTAAAAAACACCAGAACATTGATATTAGATTGTCTCATGATTACAGAAACTAGCTTGATAAATGTGCAAGCTAACTTTTTTAGGGAAAGTTAATTCTCTGCCATCTCCCTTTCTGTAGCACAAATAAAACTGTCTCTAACTTTGACTTTTTAATTAGGCTTTTTTTTTGTGTTAAGTTACTGTTGTAAGGATTTGCAGCAGGTATGGGAAGATAAAATAATCTTAAAGATCTAAATGATATCTTTACTTGGATTTCCACTCCTTTGTTCAGACTTCCAGTTCTTAAGTCACAGCACCATCCGTATGAATAGTCTCTGATTCCACACCGGAACTTAGAAAGAACAGAAACTTTTACTCCAATTCTTGTAAGAAAAGCAGACTTCCTACCAGGACCAGATGTAACACCAGCAAATTCACCTTTTCTCTGAGGAAGATGCTTTTCTAATGGATCAGTAATAAAACAGTAATTTTTCTAATACTTGTTTCCATTTTGCTCTACTCCATTGTGATGTGGAGTTGTAATTTCAGCAATAGAAGCTGACTAAACGAGCACTGCCTGCCTGAAAAACCAAATGTCAGCTGCTTTATAGTGGACTCTGCTGTTTAGAAACACAGATAGCAATGTCATCCAGTTCACATTTGCAGTAAGATGCATTTCTTCAGAGCACAGCTTGCTGAATTAATGCACAAACTTTACACTGAAAGATGAAAAAGTTGTTGCAAAGTGATACTTATTTTTAGCACTTACCACCAGGAATTTTAATCTTTGACCTGTTGTGAAACTATTTACTTAAATACCTTTTGCAGGCCACTTATAAATTGTGATTATTTTCTTCCTGTGTCCAAGGCTGGTTGTTTTACTTCTGGCAGTGGACTGAGCACAGCAGCACCACCCAGGAAAAGAAGCCGCAAGGTGCTGTTTCATTGCAGTCAGTGTCACTTCTGGGGAAGGTGAAGCACAACCATGGGGCGTGGTGGAAGTGACAGCTCTAAGCCCTGAAGATCCATGCCATTCATCCTGGATCTTGCTTGACTGAAGCCTTTGTCTATATTGCTAAATAAAAATACCTGGTACCTGAAAGAGCCCCAGACAGGGATCCATCCTTGGACTTGGGCTGTGGGCACAGTCAGTCTGCTATAAAAAGGAACCAGCAACCAGTGTGAAGACCAGCAGAGTGAGAGATACTAAGGAGGGTAGTGCTCGGAGCTGTGTGTGGCCTTAAAGATACTGCTGACATTGCTCACTCTGCAGCTTTGAAAGCTGAAGTAGAGGTGTACTTGCAGTGTCAGTGTGCAGGACAGAGGAGAGCATGTGCTATGTGAACAACACCTTAGTCTTCACGCAGAATCAGGATCCAGGTAAGACTTTGAAATGTGGTGGGAATAGAACCTAAACCCTGCTGTGCACAAGTCCCAGCTTTCTCCATTTTGTTTCACTCCTCAACCTACCCACTGAAATGAACAATTTTATTTAATGATAACATTTATGTGTCATCATTAAGGGCTAGTATGAGGTAACCTGTCCCTGAGAGGTGTTTTGGTCTATCCAGAGGTTCCACAAGACAACACAACTGCCTTATTTTAGTTTTAAATTCACAGGCATGAAAGTAGCAGTAAAAATATAGACTGTCATCACTCACTGTCACAGTTTAGGGTCAGGGCTGCCCCCAGACCTGTAACAGACACTCTCTGTTAGCCTGTCTCCCTCCAAAAGGGAAGAGGAAGGGAATAAGGGAGAGAGACTTATCGATTAGAAAAGTAAAACAGCGTTAATGAAAATACTACTACTACTACTACTAAAATGGAATATATACAAATATCTACAAAGCCAGTATGGAACCCAACTCTCCCCCTGTTGGCAACACATCACTGTCACCCTGGGCTGGGGAGCAGCGCTGGACTCAGATGGCAGCTGGGTCCAGGAGCTGGATTCTGGGACTCGGTTCAGGAACACACGGCTGGGATCAAAGGCAGGATGGATGAAATCCTCCTTGGATGCTGGACACTGCAGGAGCAGCAGAGGTGAGCAAGAAGGCAGGAGGGTGACAGAAAGGCTTGCCCCTCATGATCCTTCAGCTTTTATACTGAATGTGACAAATATGGGATGGAATACCTCAATGGTGAATCCTAGGGTCACTTGTCTTGTCCGCTTCTCCCTGCAGGTGCAGCTTTACTTTCTGCCCTGCTTCATGTGGTACACAGGATTTAGCAGTGACCTTGGTCTGCATGCCAGTCCTTGGTGGTAACTCTAAACATGGAGCATTGTCACTGCTAGAAGCAGACAAGTGTCTGCAAAGATATGCTGCTAACTTAGAATCATAGAATCCTTTAGCTTGGAAGAGACCTTTAAGATCATCAAGTCCAACCATTAAGCCAACACTACTAAGTCCTCTGCTAAAACAGATCAGAATCTGTCAGGGTTGGAAGGGACCACAAGGATCGCCCAGTTCCAACCCCTCTGCCATGAGCAGGGACACCTCCCACTAGATCAGGCTGCCCAGAGCCTCATCCAGCCTGGCCTTAAAGACCCCCAGGGATGGGGCCTCACACACCTCCCTGGGCAACCCATTCCAGGGTCTCACCACTCTCATGGGGAAGAACTTCTTCCTCACATCCAGCCTGAATTTGCCCTCTTCCAGCTTTGCCCCATTCCCCCTAGTCCTGTCGTTACTCGATAGCCTAAAAAGTCCCTCCCCAGCTTTCTTGTAGGCCCCCCGAAGATACTGGAAGGCCACAATAAGGTCACCTCAGAGCCTTCTCTTCTCCAGACTGAACAGCCCCAACTCTCTCAGTCTGTCCTCGTAGGAGAGCTGCTCCAGCCCTCGGATCATTCTGGTGGCCCTTCTCTGGACACGCTCCAGCAGGTCCACGTCCCTCTTGTAATGGGGGCTCCCGAACAGTGCAGTTAATTAGAAGAGCTTCAGCTGAAAAGTAAAATTACTGAATAGAGTTCATTCTGTTCTACCCCAAACCATGACACTTGCTCAATCACACAAAAAAATTCCCCAGGCAGATTTTGCAGTCACTGGTTTATAATGACTTTTTATTTAGTCCTGTCCTACCTGTCCTTCTGTAATTGCTTGGTAGGACTTTTCTCCCTTTCTTAAGTGTCATTTAAAATTCACATAGAGAGTCAATGCCCTGTCAGGCAAGTTTCATTTTCAGAGAACAAATCCCTGGATGAGAATTATTCCCCAGAGAAAAGCCAGGATGCTGTTTTGGTTCCAAGGATCAACAAAAATTTATGTCAGCTTCATGAAAACACAATACATAAGACTCACCTTGATGTTAACTTATAAAACAAAGATACAGCATAAAAATTGTGGGAACACTGTACAAATAAAATTCAGTGAAATGCTAACTAGAACAGAGATTCTTCACTTATACTGCTGTAAAAATGCATAAAGTGTAAACTAACACACCCTGAGAGTATGCCAAATTTTATTCATATTTTTGAATATAAAGATGATTTGAAAAAATGTACTAAATACACCAGTGAGGCTGTTATTTGAGGGGATTTTTGTCTGATCTGTATTTAGTGTCTATCCTGTTACAGAAGGTCTTTTTATTTCAGAAGGAGCAAAGTCCCCTGTAAAACTGCGTGCCATCAGAGTGAGATTTTTGTGCTCAAAATACAACTGCAACATTTCCAACAGGAATTGATTCCAGATACAGAATGACTGTTTGCTCTGGAGGTGTATCTATATGCTAAGCTTCACTGTACAGCCAGTCTATTTTATCAAGGAAGTCTGAGCTACCAAAGCTAACTGTTTTTTTATTGCTTTATAACATTAATGTTATAAAAATAAAGTATCAACATTATAAAATTATGTAAATTTCATTTACAGCAGGAAAAAAAGCAGCTGTATTATACTTAGCTCAAAGTCCATATCTGTATAAAAAAGTGTTCATTTAACTAACCTAAAAATAAAAACAACCCCAAGAAGCCTCAGTTCATTAGCATCATCTTTAAAGCATAACCCCCTCTTCTGAAATGCACTTCAGTAGCTATTTCATGGCTCTTGGTCTTTAGATCATCCATTTTACACAGTCATGTCACCATAAAGAATTATCATATACAAGACTCCAGCTATTTAATTTATTTTCATTTTACATTCACATAGAAGTGATGAATCTCAGGTTTTAAGAACACAGAGCATCCAGGATGCCCAAGCAAAGTCCATGAAGGTCACAAGGGACATCAAAGCACTGTTGGTGTCTTATGCTGTGTGGTGAACAAGAGTGGACAAAAAAATGTTTTCTTGGTAAAAGGTTACTGAAAATAAAGCAAACCAAAACATCCACCAAATACTAACACATGTAAGCCTTCATGGTTGTTCCTGATACAAATATTAACTGTGAAATACCAATGTGAAATGTTAAGACACTTGCTGCACAAAAACAGGTCTCTTCTAGAAACGTGCTGCATCCTTTCAAGTCACACCCAGGGTTTCCATCCAGGAAAGAGTCGGCTCAGATTTTTAGGGTCCATGGCCTGCTGTATGAGGAGGTTCACCTGCCCTCCCACGCTGAGCACCGTCCCCTCCTCAACTCCCTTCAGCTTCTCCTGAAGCCTCATCAGAACACGCTCAGCCACTTTGTTAAAGCTCTGGTCATCGCTGCTGCTGGAACACAAGCAGAAGAACAAGTGCTCTAGAGACAGATCCTGAACAACGCAACGTGAGCAACATTCAGCCGGAAAACCACAAAAACAAGGCAACAGTGCAGTAGGAAGGCAGTGAGAAAAAAAATCTTGTACCTGGCTTTTCTTTTACATTCTTGTGGGTCAGTACCAAGTGCAGAGCTCATGTCAGCCTCATCCTCTGGTCTCTGCTGCAAATACAGAGCTTTCAAGGGGTTCATGGTCCAGTCGAAAAGAGGATCATAGAGCAGCACCTACACAGTAAACAAATTTCTATTTAAATTGTTAATTACAGCTAGTTCAGTGCCCTATCAGGAAAAAAAACCATGCAGTTGGTAATGCTCATGCTAACCACAGTATTCGGAGGTTGGGTTTTTTCTTTTTTTTTTAATCCAAGAGAATTGGGCTAAATTGCTTAGTAGACAATCCAACAATAAACCCACAGTTGATCATTTGCAGGTATTTTCACTGTCCATACTTGACTCAGTTTTGCTACTCAGTCCCATCTCAGCAAGGAAGAGGTTCCGTTTTAATACACTGCTGGGCATTAAGTATCATTATTAGTTTTTAATGCATAGTATAAGCTGCTTTTAAAAATTATTTTAATTCTCTTCTTTATGACTTAGGCAAAGAGGATTTAATTCAATCAGCACTATTCATGCTCAGAATGTTGCACTATGGTGAGAAGTGTTTAAATACTGAAAAGGAAAAAATCACATACGCCTGGAATGAATAGCTCCCATATAAAATGCAAAGTGGTCTTGATTTTATGGAAGATTACATCAATTAACAAATCTGGCCAACACTAACTACTACATTCACATTCAACAAAAAACCCAGACAGAAATATTTGGTATAGCAATGCAGACAAGAAGACAAGAAACTGAAGATACTCTGGTAGGTTACTATCAGAAAGAATGAAAAAATGCTTACCTCTACAATAGTCAGCAAAGCTTCCTGAGAATTTCTCATAACAGCCATTGTTTTCTCACAGCATCTAGAAAACATTGTACTGTATTTTTAGGTTCTTTTCAGTAAAATGGAACAGTATTTTCATCATTTAAATAATGGGCATTTGCACCCTTCTTAAAGGTTAACTTCTAAAAAATGAGTAACCTCTCTGATGTTTCCATTTTGGGGAAAAAAAAAAAAGAAAAAAAGACGAAAAATTTAGAAATGTAAGACCAGACGATGACCGGGTAGTTCACTGACTACATTCCCTATGGGAAAGAGATCAGCTGTCTCACTGCCTGAGATGTTTCTACACATGGAAGAAACCACTGGCTTAACAATGATCAGTGAGTTATGCCACAATGGGAGAACTGCTTGGCTGGATAAAAACATGTGCCAGAGGTGCTCAGCAACAAGTCAGAGAATCTTGGTAGGGTTGCTTTACATGAATGAACAGATCCAGCAGCCAGAGACAATAAGCTGTTTCTGAAATTTCTCCAATGAATTTAAATGCCAAAGAGGTCATCTACATTCACACCTAAGAAAGGAAGGAATACAAAGCTTTCCTTATGGGACAGGCTTTCCAGTGAGAGAGGGCTTAGGCCTCCTGCCTGATTCAGGATAGGAACATAAAGTTACCTGGCCACATTCACACCCAGTCCCAAGATAACTTGTTTATGCACTTATACCTATACTGATAATCACAAGTCAGTCTGGGTGAGGCAGAAACAGTATCTGCACCAATGCCCTTTATCCTGTATTTACTTCAGCTGGAGCCAAACAATGAATGTTTCCCTGTATCATGGGACTAAAGTTTCAGAAGTAACATGAAAACTAAATTTGACAGCATCATGTTTAGAACAGAAATGGCAGTGATTGTTCCTTCACAGGAAAATGGTATACTAGGAACTACTTACTAATGTTCATTGCAACACCATGTACTTTTTTAAAGATGTGAAATTTGGGGGTTACCAGTACTATGTCCATGAACATCATAAAATGGGATATTATCAGCAGAAATCAGTCTCCTCTCAAGCATCATAACTATTTAATGTGTAACAATCCTACTGCTGAAAGTGTCCTGCTGCTTCCTTACCCCTGTGCAATACAGGAGCACTTACCTCCTGAAGACTCCTTCCACGCCACTAATACCCATTCCATCCACAATGTCCCTGGTTAGTCTAAATGGGACAGTCTCTGGTGTGGGAAGGATTTTACCTTGCTCAAAAGCAACGCCTAAATGAAAGGATAAGAAACATTTTAAAAGATGTTAACATGAAGAAAAATTAAGGTTTTCTTGCCTGTCCCACTTACCCAGATCTATATGCACTAGCTCTGCCGTTTGCTCGTCTATCAAGATATTCTGAACATGTCTGTCTCCAAGTCCAAGAATGTAGCCAACTAAAACAAAAGGTAAGTGCTGAAAACATATTTATGTGCCATAAAACCCAGGGGAAATTTAACAAAGAGAAGATTATTAGAATCAGTGTAACACACGCAAACAAATTCAAAGTAAGAATATTTTGTCCCCCACGTACACATATAACCCCAGTAAAGAGGAAATGCTATTCCACAAATCCAAAAATAGAAGGTTAACTGAACGAGATTCCACAAAGGTTATTCTCATACAGATGTGTATTGTTTTATCTACTCCACAGACTTCTTGTCCATTTCTCTCTGTAGCTAGGTTAAACAATGTCACAGCTTTCAAAAAGAAAAAAGAAGATAAAAAGCAAGTACCCAATAAAATCAGAGTTTATTATTATGATGATTTTTAAGAAAACCTTTTAACTCACTGTATCCTGTAACCCAGAGAACAGGACTGGACATAACTTAGCCCATAATTCAGTTGGGGCAGCACAAGTGTAACTATATAGTACCCAAGTGAGTCTTGACCAAGCCAGTTACAAAACTCTCCAGTGGTACAAAATCACAGGCACTTTCATGTCAGCCTATTTCAGCACCTCACTGTCTTTAAAGACCTCCAAACTAAATTTCCCTTCCTGCAATTTACACCTGTTGATGTTTTTCTATTAGGTCATGGATATGGACAGCAATCATATTTCCTACAAAAATATTTCATCTGAATTCTGCTAAACTTTTTTCTTCTTTTTCCAGAAAAAAAAAGGGGGGGGGGTGTATAAACAACATGCTACCATCTAAAATAGGATCTATGGCCATTTACTATAGCAAATTTACAATTTACTATCAAATGTTTTCAAGAGACTCAATACAAAATTGAGTCATCTGAAGGAAATCCACAATCCAAGTACATATATTTCCTTATTAAGGCAAAAAAATAAAAGGAAAAATGCCAGAGCTGAAAAAAACATTTCAGCCACGGCTAATGATGCCAGTGTAAAGTAAAACATTAGGCTTTTCATCACAGTTAAAACATTTGAGGCTACAGAGGAAATTAATAAATGTTAAATCAAAGTAACAGAATTAGTCTGATAGAAACTTAAAAAAACCTACCAGAATTTAAAAATACAAACCACTTTATGAAACAAAGAGACAAAGAATTTCCTTCTGTCTTTCTACTGCAGAAAGGGGCAGGAGGGGAATGAACTGGAAATCCTTACTACAAAAATAATGCTGGTGTCCAAGAAGAGAAGGCTCCAGGGAGACCTTATTGCAGCCTTCCGGTATGTAAAGGGGGCCTACAAGAAAGCTGGGGAGGGACTTTACACAAGGGCTTTACAGGACAAGAGTTTCAAATTGGAAGAGGGTACATTTATATGAGAAGTAAGGAAGAAGTTCTCCACTGTGAGGGTGAAAAGACATTGGAACAGGCTGCCCAGGGAAGCTGTAGATGCTTCATCACTGGACGTATTAAAAGACCAGGCTGGATGGGACTTTGAGCAAGCCAGGCTGGTGAGAGGTGTCCCTGCCCGTGGTAGGAGGGTTGGAACCAGATGATCTTTAAGGTCCCTTCCAAACCAAACCATTCTATGATTCTTGCTGCCATTTTTTGCACCCTGCTTCCCCTTTTCTGACACATGACAAAGGCAGAATAGTCATTAACTCTGAAATGGTATGAGCTCTTTGGTTTCATGATCTAAAAAGGCAGTGTTACTAATGCAGTGCAACACCTATAGAGGATGTCGCCACACTGCGGGTGTACGCCAGGCGTTTTTCAAACCACACAGCTGGATCCAGGAACTTTTCCATGCAGAAATAACGAAACACAGGCTGAAAATTCTCGCAGACTTTCATGAAGATGTTGTATTTCTCTTCAGAATGTTTCTTTTGTGCATCCTTTAAAGACATAAGAAAAGTTTTTCCCATGACAGACTGCTCTGGAAGGAAATGACCTCTTCCTCTGAGAGAAACACATTACTCCTTTCTACCCCCTCCCCTCCATCAAGTGCTGTTCTTTCTCTCTCTGAGCTACAATCTTATTTACAGCAATCATTAATGCACGTATCTGTTTCACTAACTAATTCTATTTTCATACACAAGTCATGGACTGTACTTCCCCTTGCACTCTATTCTGGTACCTTAGCTTATCTCATGGCTTCAGATCACTGAGAGAAAGTAATTCTTGCTCATTCACATGCAAAAGCTGCACAAAGGCAAAATTAAATATACTTCTACCCTGTAAATACTACATAAAATTGAAAGGAAATAATATCTTGCACAATCATGGCTACATAAAGTACCAGATAAACCTGTCTGCAATTTTCTAAAGGTGTGGTGCGGGCGTTTGTGGAACTAAGCTAAACTAAAAGTCTGAAGATCCATTAATTCCATGCCATGGGTCATATTCATTATTATACACTAAAAGTATAGTATATAATTCTCCATAAATTCCACCTCTCCAGTAAAGAATATGAGCCAGCTATTTATTTTTATTTTTTTTTTTAGTTATTTTCACTCACCATCATCATTTTCTGACACTGATAACAGGAGTAATCTTTTGGCCTGTATCTCTTGTGAGCTCCCTCTTCAGCGTTCACAAGGAACTCCCCAATGGGAGTTGTTCCTGAGCACCACTCGAGAACACCACTCCTCTGAGAAAGGGGAACCACCTGAAAAAACAAAACCACTGCTGCCTGGAGGAGGGTTATACACACAACTATGAAAATGCCTGCTGCAGAGCATGGGGGCATATTTGTTTAAAAAGACAACAGACCAAACTGTGCAGCTGACCACAACAGAAGTTTTAAATATGCATGTATACGTATATAAAACACGCTCAAGGTTTTTCTATGAAATACTTGCAATTGTTTGCCTAGCCCAGAGAACATTCCAATGCATACTTCAGTACTACTTAATAGTACTCCTCAATCTGCACATGTGTGTTGGTATTCTGGGTGCCCCATGACCACCAACAGCTTCCTGTGCCTGAACAGGACACTATACAAGCGCTGGGTAAATACACCTCAAAAAAGTCTGGAACAGACACACGCTGGCAGCTGTGTGAACATCCCAGGCTTGTCTCAGCTGCTTGCCTCCTAACTGGCTGTAGTTGCTGTGGCACACACAACTGGCCAGAATGAACCATCTCCTGTCCAAAGAATTGTTACGGCCTGTTGCCTCCAATTTTCCTTTCTTATGAAAGTCTCTTTATCTCATAACACAACTGCCATTCTCTTTTTTTCCAGCTTTTATTCATTTTTACACACATAAAAACCTGAATCTTCATTTAAAAATTAATCAAAAAATGTGACTAACTCCACCTGTGAATTCCTAAAACTGCTAGCAATTCAGATAAGCTCCTTCTGAGACTCTGGAGTGCACATTTCTCATCTGTCAAAGACAAGCACTTTAGAGAGTACTTATTCAGAGGTCACCTTCACAGCTATTATCATAAACTCAAGCACATAGAAAGGAAGGAGGAGGGGAAAGTTCCTGTTCAAATACATTTTCTACACTTGCCAAAGAATTTATTGTTGTATTCCTACTTCCAATAGCAACAGCTCTACAACTCAAATTCTTCTGCATGAACAGACCCTAGATAGGACTTCTGGATTCAGCTGTAAAGAATATTGTAAGACTAAAATTAATTACTTAATTAAAGAATATTGCAAGAGTAAAATTATTAAGAATTCATAAACTTGTATGTTCAAGTTTAATGACTGGCAACTTACAATGCAAGCACACTGCAATTTTCAATTGTAAGTTCACATAAAGAAAATTTTGAAGAGTATTTAAATACATATTTGGGATCAGGATTTTCTTTTAAGGATTTGGAAAAAAAATGTAATAATTGTTGTAACCATAATAATTAAATTGTATTAATTTTTTATTCCATACCAGAAGGAGCGGTGACTATTTTAATAACACATAAATAAACACACTTCTGTGTTGCCATTGGGTTGGGAGGAGGAGAAGGGGTAGCATTCATTCCTCTGCTGCAGCAGCTGTTCAGGGTTACCTTGTATCTTCGGATAGTTAATTTTCTCTTTCGTGTTTCAGTGTTTTGGTGGAGCAATGTATTGCACATCTGGAAAACCTGCTGCATAACAGCATCTTGTCTCAGGTCATCACGCCCCTTCAGCAGAAACAGAAAAAGCCATTCAAGAACACAGCAGCACAGAAGGTCTTGTTTTTAAATCAGGAAGTTATTTAAAAAAATTCCACTAAACACAAATTATTTTCCCACAGGAATCACCTGTAATAGAATGTAATTAACAGTTAGTTTTTCTCTGTATTTGGTTTTGTAATAGTGCTCAGTTCCTTAAGTAGAGCCATCATTAACTTAAATCATCACCTTTTTCTTCTTTGTTTTTGACAAATGTTATTTGGTTAAGGTTTCAATCAACCTGTATGCCTCATGGTACCCTTTCAAAAAGCAGGTGCTTCATTCACTATATCCAGCAATCCAGCAGACAGCTGAAGCAGCATCAGCTGGCACTGCAGTTCTGATTATTGGGTGCAGACCTAGTGATTCGTGCTTCTCTTTAAAACTTCCAAAACTACCCCACAATTACCAGCAAAACAGAATTCTCCCAGCAGCTGCTGAATATTTACAAAGGCAGACAAAATTCAATCAGCTGAGTTGAAAGAGAAACAGAATTTTTAAAGACTTTTGTTTCTGTGTTCATGTTTTTGATTGTTTCTGAATTGTAATTCTTTTCATATAGGGAAGAAAGAAAAAAAGGGGTATTTAACACCAAGTGCTGATGGCTTTTATTTGCTGTACGCTCCAGGTCACTAGTTGAGACATGACCACAGGAGTCGCAGGTCTGGTAGCTGGCAGGTAAGCTACTGTACATTACATGCATTGCTGAAAAATAATTACAAAAACATTTAATATTATTACTTAGTATTCTATTACAGTTTATATTATATTATGTTTATAAGAGTTATTATTATTTTGTAATTGCCTTTATTAAAGTGTTCCTGAACTGTGAAAACTAACACTGAACTGTGAAGTCTGCTCACTGTACAGAGGTGATACATGAGAAAACTTAGAAGAGAGGTTAAATTGCAACACACCAAGTCTCTTGAGACGTTGTTCAAACTGACAGAACTTACCTTAACCAGCTGCCTCCTTTCTTTACCATCCGATCCTACACAATCTATTATTTTAGGCAGATTTAGGCCTCCTGCTAAGCGAAATTCTGGCTTAAAAGACCTTATTGTCACCAAATTTTCATATCGTCCTGTGGGATCCACCTGAAATCATAATGTAAAACTAATGTAAGCATTACCTCTATTTCACTCAAAGAAAGTGGTAGTGAGTTGTTTGCAAACCTTGTTAGCAGTCTGTATGCTAAATATCAATATGAGTATTCCATCATCTACAAGGATAATCCTCACAAAGGCTACAAAATACGCTGAACAAAGGAGTGAGCTTGATTCCTCCTTGTTCACCTCATTGGTAGAGGGGACGTGGTGCTGCAGAACTCCACTAGACAAGTTCTGACACAGTTTTGGCCCATCCCAACCAGCATTCTCCCAAGAAAATGTTCATATACAGCTGGGAGATGTTAGGCTGCAAATGGACCCAATCTGCAATTGTAAAACTGCTGCAATCTGCAGGATCTGTATCTTCAGCCATCCTCAATCTCCTCATGCCACAAATCAACTCTACTCAGCTGTGAGGAAGTTTTGCTCCAGCTCTTTAAGTTACAGACCTCCAACTACTTCAGAGAGTGTGTACTGGAGATGAAAGGCAAAAAAAAAGGACAAGGGATTTGTACAAAGGAGCAACACCTAGGGCCAACAAAAGCCCTACCAACAAATGCTGTTCAGCACAGGGGGCAATTTCTGGCCTCTGATGTCAAACAGCAAAACCCAGTCCTTTAGCTTGTTTTCTTTAGCTTTCTAGACATAGCCTGAGGGACATCAACACAGCCAAGTTTGGCTTTGTAACATTTAAACTGTAGGTGGCTAGTCCAAAATCAACTTTATGCTCTCGAACCTGCTTATTTTTCTAGGCAGAGCATGTGGCATCTATGGATGAATGCCTTGGCACCCATCCAACCAACCACTTACACTAAGGGGAATGGATCGCTTACTGTTACTGAACAGTAAAAACACAGAAACTGGCCATTTAGGACAGCAGAAGAGGCACATCCATTAATCTCACACCTTTCTGGACATAAAGTGCCTCCCTGAAACTCTGAGCTAGCACCTACAGAACAGGAGCTTCAGTTTTCCAAATTCCCTCTGTGATTTAAGCAGCTCATCATCCCTTTTGATAATGACAGACTAGTCAGTCTAACAGTGGGAGTGGCAAAGGCATCTTCACACAATAAGCCACAACAAGCCTCTACTGAGCAAATACAAGACCTGGGGTCAAGGTCTTCTAAAGCCTAAGGAAACCATCTCACCCTGCCTCTCCCACCTGACAGGGAATTACCCCTTGTAGTCTGACCTGTAAAGAACATAGGAATCTGATGAAGAGATATATACCCTGACTGCCATTATGAAAATTTGAAAATGATTCTACAATTTGATATTATAGTGTATATTTAGTTCAACTTCAGTCACCTTAATTTCCATGGTAGGAACAACAACATCCTCTAGGTTCTTCAGTTTAGTAATTGGCTGGTCAGCTGGAATACTTATTCCTTCTGTAATTAAAAGGAAACCATATTTCTAAATTCAGAACTCTGAACATACACTAAAGTTCATAAAAAAGAGCTTACACTGCATTTGGGTCCCAAAACCTTACTGCATACTTCTGTTCAGCTGATGAAGATGACCACAGGACAACTGAAGTTTTCTGGAGTTCGATACTCAACAAGTCTGAACCTTACCATACAAGCAATTATGACAACTTTTAATCCAGATTAAGTTCTACATTTATTAAAAATGGGAAATTGTGCTAGCATCGTATCTCCTTTAGCTAAATATCCATATTTAGAAATACATTTTTAAATTCAACAAAATAAAATATATCCTCACTATTAAAAACAAAAACCATTTTTCCAAGACTCACTTCTTTGAGATTTCCATGGAGTAGCATCTACATTTGCTAACGTGATGTAGGCATCACAGAGTGCTTCAACGTCTCTAACCATACGAGCTCTCCTCCTTCTTACAGTATTGATTATATTCCTTGCAGCCTCCATTCTGTCCTAAAGAACCTCAAAGGAATACAAATATCAGAACTTGCAAACTCCTTCTTGTAAGATTAAAGATACATCATAACGTGCAGTCAAATAAGTACAATTGAGATATATCCAACATAGGAAAATGCAATAACGGACAGTCCTTTGTGATATGAACAGAAAGAATTTCAATGGAATTCTATGCTGTCTAATCTGAGATAATGAATGAAGTAAAATATTACAGGGGATAGAGAGGGAGCAAATCTGTCCAGGCAAAGTGCAAAAAAAAAGCAAAAATTCTTCAAAAAAAGGGATAGGCACTTATGGATGTTCTTTCACCATCTTCTTGCTACTGTTATTTCTTCCTCACGGAAGATAAAGCCTGTAGGCAAAAGGCAAAAATCTGACCACGCATCCCTTCTAACTCTGAGGGATTTAGGAGTATGATTATGCTAAACTCAACTACAGGTGGGACAACAGAAGAACTACAAATGTGAGAGAAACACAAAAAAAGGTACATAAAAATGTGGTTAAAAAACTGTATTAGTGTGTGGGGTAAAAGAGTAATGACAAATAACCATGCCAGGCCTATATGGATGGGGGACAGAAGGGGCATTAATCTAGATATGAGATGATTCCAAAGATAGGTTGCAACAAAAATTAAGCAGTAACAACATTAACATGAAGCCACAGGTCTGTATTACTCATCATCATGGCTTTACTGCATGAGGCTAAATACTTAGGTGGAATAGGTGTTACCACCCAAAGCAGAAAAAATACTCAATTCAGTATGTAGTTTTAACAATAAATCCACTGAAGTCTTTGTTGCATCTAAAATGCCTTTTACAGAATCACACATCAAGGACATTTATCACAAAATTCTTTGCAATAATTGGGGCTATTTGTTGCAAGAAATGTTAATCAGGTTTTGTTCAACCCCATAATTACTTATTTCACTAATAATTACCAATGCATGCACAAAAGGAGGGTGTTTATTATTAAAAATACTTTCTTTCTTAAAAAAAGTCAGCCAATGAGGTCTATACTAAAGTACCCCTTGACATATTGTTTGTTTTCCTCAATTTTTTATCACAATGAAAGAACTGAATATAATTAGAGAACAGAAGTTTTTGTAGTCACCACATCAAGCTGGGAGATTTCTTTCGGTGCATTTTTAATTAACTTAGTTCTTCTTATTGCATCTGGTTTTGTGAGGAGTTCATCTTTGTTAGCATTTGCCAAAGCAAATATTATAAACAAAGTATGGTGTGGATGATCCAGAGAAATTCTAGACATTAGCTGTCAAGAAAAACAAAAAGATCCCTTTTACTGAAAACTGTACAGATGAAAAAAAATTACTTAATTAACATTATTAATTCTTTTGACCTTCTAAGGTTCCTAGTAAGAAACAAATGTACTACTTGTGTATTTACACAGCTAAAATACATTCAAAGCATATTCCTATATCTGCATGAGAGTATTCTGAAAGAATTGTCAAGAAAATAAATTAAGTAGCAATGAAAAAAGTCCCAAATCCTCTCCCCCCTCCCTACACTATATGGATTTTGCATCACCTATTTTTAATACACCTTAATCACCTACATAACTCATTTAGCTCTAACTGCAGAAGCATGCACTACTAAGCAAATCAAGGTGTCTTTAGACACAAAAAGGACAAATTACATTATTCAGAACTCCATGAAATCCTAAGCCACTCATCATCTTGGTTCCCATCCGAGCAGCCAGCTGGTACATGAGAGGCAAAAACTTGTATGAAGGGATTTTCTCTGCATTTTTCTGTAGTAGAGAAAATGTGGTCAGAAAGCTGTTCTAAACACCAAAAAAAAAAAAATTATACTCTATTAGAGCAGAGATTAGATATATTGACTCACAAATAATTTCTAGATTCTTTGTAGCAACAGACAATCCCAATTGAAAAAAAATTACAGTCTGCTTTAAGGTAAGAAACAACTGTGTGTTTAAAATAGGAGTAAAGGAACACTTTCTACTTTTCAAGTTTAATTACCACACAAAGCAAAGAATTAAATTGTACAGATCTCTGTTACAAACATATCATACAGGAGGTAAGAATTAACAGACTTCCTGCACAATTCTAAAAATGACAGAACCAGCTTCAGAATGAGAACTTTGCTGTTCCCTGGCTACCATGTTATACAGCCAACCTAAAGACATATCCTGTCACCTAAAAGTATACACACTTTTATATAAACTAGTATCCAAGGTGCGTAGAGAACAAGGTGCTAAGAGTGAAAGCTCATAAAAGATGCTTAATCATCCAGACTCGACAAATTAAAATGCTAAATTAAATTAAATCAAATCAAAATATATTGAGAATTACATACAACACTTACTGATGAAAAACCAACTGATGAGCAATGATGACTGAAAAAAGCAAGTTTTGAGGAAGACGCTAAGGAGATGCATAGGAAAACATACTGCACAGCACCAGAATTCATCTTCCAGAAATACAGGAGAAGAAGAAAGATGGATAATTTCATGTCAAAGCATAAGGAAAAGCAACAGCAGACATATACCTTCATCATTTCATTGACTCTATCAACCCCAGAATTTTCAAGCCATAGGGAACAGAGTCGGAAGATCCACATGTCATGTTCTTCTCCACTTAGTAAACAGCTGATATAATTCTCCACTGCTTTACACAAGAAACGTTTACGATCCTCAGTTAGGGCATGTATGGCACATTCATCCAGCTCAAGTTCTCTCTGGACCTTCACTGTATATCTATGAGAACAGACATTATTTTTAATCAACATATTATTTCTTAATGGACTTACAGCAAGGCTGTCCCTAGCTCTCTTGCTTACTAATTAAACCTGTTTAAACTTTCTTGTATGTGCAAATACAGTGAAACAAACAACTGAGAAACTAAGCTGTGGGAGCTATTTGCTTGGTGGATGTCCGTGCAGACCCACCACTCTAAGTAGGTAAATTTGCAGACACTTTTTTTCTTTTTAATTACTTGACCTCAGTGTAGCTGTAAATGTGAGTATCTAGTCCAGATCATTTGTGTGAAGACTTCAGTTTCCAGGAGCTGAAGTTCAATCTTTTCCACTCACTTGGAATTGCTCTTACAAAATCTTTATAGAATGCTGCATTAAGATAAATTCTACTATTTCACCAAATGTGTAATGAAGAAAAATCTCAATCTCAGTCACATTTTCTCTGTCAAACGAACTGAAAAGGTGCAATGGATGCATGTTAATTCCATAATCACCTGTACTGTTTACCTGTCCTCACACTCTTTGGCTTAGTTTTGGTCCATGCTGCCTAGCACTCTACTGGAGCATCTTCAAGCACAGTCAGAAACTATTCACAAGTACTACAGATTTGGCCACTGTTTTGTGGAGAAGGAAAACTGCAGCTGCAGAGATGTGACCCATGCTGCACCACTTGCCCAGAAAATGAGTTAAGATGGAGCCTTTGCTAGCTCCACAGTAACCACCTCTCCATTTGAATGCTCACCTATTTGTCTGGACTTTACGCTCCCTGAGGAGGCCGACCTCCTCCTTGGCCTTCTTCAGTAATGCCTGTTTATTTTCAAACTCTGAGGATTTCATGTAATTCTCAATTCTCTGGTACTGATTATCTGAGAAACGAGCCAAAGACAGGAAAGCCTTCATCTTTCCTTTCTTCAGCTCATCACTGCTGTCTCCACTGTGGCTTGCAGCTATTTCCACAGCCTAAAAGGGAAGTTACAATAATTATAAGGCTGATAATCAGATTAATAGTGCTGCATAGTACTCAATTAAACTCCATTATCACAGAAAAACAGAATGCTTGAGGTTGGAAGGGACCTTTGGAGGTCATCTTGTCCAACCACCCTGCTCCAGCAGGATCACCTGCTCAAACAGGTTATTTAATATTGCCTACGATGGAACATATATGCATATAAAATAAAAGCTATCAGGCTCAATATATTCCTCATAAGTGAATTCAGTTCTTGAAGAGTGTTTCAGTTCAAATAGTCAAAAATGTTATCCTGTATGAAATAGCTTTAATAACCACACAGGAGTCTCCTACAGCTATCTATCTTTCAAAGTAACTAGGCATGAAATTTTACAGCCTTATATCATAAGACGGTGAGAAAAAAATAGAAGACAGTCCAAAAAGTACCAAAAAGAAAAGGAATTATATGTCAAAGTCATGGATTTAAATCATCCATGTGAAGAAGGCATGCATAGAGTAACAGAAAAGCAGCTATGTAAAGTTTCACAACTTGGAATGAAATAAAGAAATGCAGAGAGGACAGCTACTAACAAAATTGTTTCTATTACTGACTAAAGAGTTTTTTAAAAATTTGCAGTACTTTGAAACACTAGAATAAGACTTTCTAGCAAAAATGTAAAGGGAATGTTACAAATACAATGCCCATACTGAAAACATGGTAAGTGAATGATTTGTCCTGAGAAAGAAAGGGTGGGGATGGAGTAGAACAAGAAAGGGCAACTGCACAATATTACACAGAAGTTTCACTGTGAATTCTATTAAGCCATACTCTAAATAGTTTGTAAAATTAACAGTGTTATACAAGACTAGTGCAATATAATGTTTTTGTAAGAAACTATTTTTAACCCAGAAAAACAAAGGCTGCATTGAAAAATTTACTTGACTTTTGAACACTGTATTTTAGTCCAACATTATCTCAATGACTGCACATTTCAAAGATGGAATGCACCTTTTCCAAGTACTTCTGCATGATGACTGTAGGGTTTTCCAAGCATGTTTCTGCTAACCAGGTTCCACATAGCCTCAGGCACTCTGTGTACATCAATTTCAGATGAGGATCTTTCTCAACCTTTGAGAAAGCAAGTTTGGAGAAAGAAAAAAAAAAAGAGGGAGGCATCAAACAAAAATAGCTTTTATATATGAGGTTTTTATATAAAAAAAGCTTTTATAAAGCTTTTAAACTCAGAATATACTTCAAACACTTGGGCCTATTACAGGCAATATATCTTCAGAATCACCATCATCTGCAGCTGTCAATAACCTTAAATCACACTCACATTCTATATTAGACTATATTAGCTTTAACTGTACAGTAGGAAAACTTTACAAAATACTTTTAGTATAGGGTACACATTATAGAACATCTCACCAGGATGGCAACACTGAGTGTGAAATGCTGAAGGACATCACAGCCCTCCAAAACATAAAACCTTCTTATGTGGACAGGGTAAATGTAACACTGGAAGGTGAGAGGAGGACTAAATTTCTGGAGGCCCTCATCAATTGATTCATGGAGCAATCATGAGAATTCAAAGAGAGGAAGAGTGTCTTGATTTTGCCCTGATATGTATGGAAAACTTGGCCCAAATTCTGCATCTTTGAAGTGTGATATTCCCTAATAATGTATATGGATCCAAAGCAAATGTTTATTACCTTCCAAAAATACTCAAAAAAAAAGCTATGATGAGCTGTCAGAATTTATTTTTCCCAAAAGGTCTACAGCAATACACAGATGAAATAAATAATCTACTAGAAGAGGTATAAAAGTTTTTGCTTATAACTGCCTTAATATATGAGGTGGTGTATCTGCAGGTAGCAGATGTGACATCAATAGGTCAAGTTCCAGGGAAACACAGATCTGTAAGACTCTTACCAGAAGTGGACAAATTAGCAAAAGAGAAAAAAAAAAATCCACAAAGAGAACAGATGCACTAATATAGAGAAAAGCCAGAACAGCTTTTGTAAAAGGACACCACAGAATGACAGAAAAGTCAAGGCTGGAAGGAACCTCTGGAGACCATCAGACCCAAGCCTCTGTTAAAAGCAGGGCTTTACATTAAGTTTTCCAAGGACTCTCCTGAACTGAGTGCTGATTATTCATTTTCAGCAAGGGAGATTCCATCAATTCTTTGGGAAAACTGTTCACAGTGTTTAGTGGCAAAGAATTGTCTTCCTGTACCCAGATGGCATTCTCCTTTAAACAACTTGTGCCATTGCCTCCTGCCCTTTCACTGTGCATCTCTGTGAACAAAGTTACCTCCACCTTCACTATAACTACATTTCAGGTATTAGAAGACTGTGTGTGGAATCGTGACTTGTAAAGCGGGGTGATGTATTTTGCTAAGTTTGGACAATCAGCGTGGCTGAGGTTTGGCTTGTAAGGCGGAGGGGACTCACAAAAGTAAAAAAATAGCAGATGTTTTTAGGTAGTGGATTCTGTTGGCTGTTCACCCGGACAAGTATGGAAACATCAGCAAACTTTCTCACAACAACTCTGAGCTATGCCAGGGCTGACAGAGTGCATGGACAGTGGCTTTTGCCAATCAGTAGCTTGCCTTAGGCGTGTGAACAGGCTTGTGAACCTATGGGGCTCGGGGGCTGTCGCTTGTCTGCTAGAAAAGGCTGTAAAGCTTTGCAATAAACGGATTTTACGGCAGACCCCCTGGAGTGCGTCTCTTCTCTCCGCAGCCCCTTCCCGACAACTGTGACTGGATCTCCCCAAGCCTTCACTTCTTAAGGCTGAAAACACCCAGTACCTGCTACTTCTATTCCTTTGCCAAGTTCTCCAACCCTCTAATCATGGTGGTGGCCCTCCGCTGAACCCTCTCCAATTCTTCAGTGTTTGTTTTGAATGGTGGACCAAAACCAGACACATTATTTCAGGTGTGAGCTAAGGAGTGCCAAACAGAGTAGAATACTCATACTTCTTCATCTGCTAGCTAGACTCTTGGTGATGCAGCCTAGGACATGGTTCACCTACATAGCTACAAGGGTACACTGTTGAATCATTTTAGTTTGCTGTTCACTGGGACCTCCAGGTCTTTTGTGGTAAAGGTACACCCCAGCCACTCAGCTCCCTCCCTGTAATGCTGCTTGAGATGATTCTATCCCAGGGGAAGGACTACCCACTTATCTCCTACAACTTCTATTGGCATATCTTCCAACCTACCGAGATCTCTGTGATCCGTGGCTCTTCCTTCCAGACAACCTATCTCTCCAGTTTGCTGTTTTCTGCAAAATTGCTGAGGAAATGCAGTTCTGTCATACAGATCTCAGTAAGAAAAATAGTACCAGACCCAGTAACAAACTCTAAGGAACTCTACTTCTGCCCTGAATCAACAACCACCACCCTTTGAGCTCAACAGTTCAGCCAGTTCTCCACTTATCTTGTGATCTTATCTACCCAGTCTGTATCTTCAGGAAGGATACTGTGGGAGATTGTGTCAAATTCCTTGCTAAAATCAAGGTAGGCAACATCCACAGCTTGTCTTCTGTCTGCTGTGCAAACTGTTTAACCACAGAAGACAATCAGGCTGGTCAAGCACAACAGTTTATTTCTGCTGGCTTTTCCCAACCGCCACCTCTTCCTTCTTGTCCATGGCAACAGCTTCCCTAACGACCCGTTCTGTAATTTTCCCTGGGACTGCAATGAGTCTGACTGCTTTGCAGTTTCCGATCTTGCTTTCTATTCCTTTTATAGATGGGTATCATTGTCTTCTTCCAGTCATCGGGACTTCCCTTGACTTCTATGAAGTTTCAGAGACAATATGGAAGTGGCTTTGACATGATGTCAGTCAACTCTCTCAGCATCCTCAGATGTATCTCATTTCCCAACTCAACTGAACTTGCAGAACTCAACAAGCAAAGGATGATGTAGCTGATTCAGCCTACTCTAACAAGTGCCAACACTCATGTGACATAGTTCTACAAAAGGCTGTTGAAGAAACAAAGTTCCAGGAAAGAACATGCATGATTCTTGGAGAGATGAAGAACTACGACAGGCAACAGAAAAACAGGCCACTTTTTACAATGGAATTATGTCACCAGTTAAATGCCTCCAAGGATCCAGTCATCTGTGCTGTTCAAAAGATAGTAATCTTGAGAAGGTAACGAGCCATGAACACAATCTGGTGATGATACCAAGTTAATCAAGGTGATAAAGACCAGGACAGACTGAAGAACTGCAGCCAAACAATACAGGACAATAAATGGAATGAAAAAAACCTGATGCAATTACCAGCAAAAATAAATAAATAATGCATGAGAGAGGGAAAAAGACTTCTTGTATACAAGGATGGAGCATGAAACAATTATTCCTGCTTGGAAATGTGACTATAAAATGTTACCTCACTATGGACAATGGAGACAAGAAATGTGTTCAGTGTTAGAGCAAAACTAACATCAAATGAATACAGATGGTCAAATGGGCAAGAGGAAGTGGTTCTTAAAACAGCAGGAACTAAGCTGTGAAACTCCTTGTTGCAGCGTTTTCTTGGATATTAAAAGCTTACACAGACACAAAATGTGATTGGACAAATTTATGGTATAAAAACCACTGGAGGGAATCACCTGCAAAGAAACTACCTCTGGTTCAGGCATTTCTTGAGCTACAAACCATCCTGGGGCAGTACACTGGCTGTACAGCCCAACGATTCTCTACGCTTTTTCTCAGGAACTCCACATTGCCTATCACTGAGATCAGACAGAAGGATTTTTGTCTCAGTTCTTGCATTCTGAACTGGAGATGGGAATACAGGATTTGCTTCACATCAATGACATACATTTTCAGAAAGCTTACAAAATGATCAAAGGTAACTGAAATTCAGAAACACTTGCTAACATAAAATCTGATGAGAAAACATTCCCCTGTTTGAGGCACGATACCATATTCACAGGTACAACATAAAACTCACAGCTGAGTGTGCTTGGAAATGGGGGACGATTCAAAAGACATGAACAAGCACCCCAAATCATATCTACTGTGCTCCATGATAATGGATTTGTTCAAGGGACAAAGAAGTCTGCGGTACAGTAGTGAATGTTTGTCAGCCAAAAATTTGCCTCAAGTTTCTGTACAGTTTGTGATACAGTTTCAGTCCCACTGAAATTGAAGCCTCAACTCATATTCCCACCTTTTGCACAAAAACTCCCTACAGGAAATGCCTGCAATAGAGTTATGATTTTTGGCATAAAACGTATTATTAGCGTCTCCCTGTATTAGTCTTTTTTCACACAATAAGGACCACAGATAAAAATCTTCCTTATTCTTCTTCTTCTAACAAAAACATGTAAGCTATTAGAATTCCAAACATACTATGAAATATATGAAATAGTGTGGCCAGCAGGTCTAGGAACGTGATCGTCCCCCTCTCCCTGGTGAGGCTGCACCTCAACTACTGGGTTCAGTTTTGGGCCCCTCACTGCAAGAAAGACATTGAGGTGTCAGAGTGTGCCCAAAGATGGGCAACAAAGCTGGAGAAGGGTATGGTGCACAAGTCTTATGAGGAGCAGCTGAGGTAACTGGGAGTGTTTAGCATGGAGAAAAGGAGGCTCAGGAGAGACCTTATCACCCTCTACAACTACTGACAAGAGGTTGTAGCAAGGTGGGGGTCGGTCTCTTCTCCCATGTAGCAAGTGATAGGACAAGAGAATATGGCTTCAAGTTGCTCCAGGGAAGTTTTAGGTTGGATATTAGAAAAAATTTCTTCACAGAAATGGTTGTCAAGCACTGGAACAGGCTGCCCAGAGAAGTAGTTGAGTCTCATCTCCAGATGTATTTAAAAGACAAGTAGATGTGGCACTTAGGGACATGGTTTAGTGGTGGATTTGACAGTATTAGGTTAAATGCTGGACCGAATGATCTTAAAGGTCCTTTCCCACCTAAACGATTCTGTAATTCTATGTCTAAGCAATCCTGCTTGGCCATTAGTTTCCTTAACTATTAGCACAGAACAAGATGCTACACCTCCATGTTACAATTTCCTTTAAAACAGGTTGATTTTTTATCAAGGGAAATAATCTCTGATTTTAAAAAGCTATATATTTCCCAGTGGTAGCAGCACTGGAGGCAACATAATGACTCACTTTGAAAACCCCTGATAAGATTTGCTAATACAGATTTTTACAGACATTTTGAGAGCACAGGACAGATTTAGTAATACTGTACACTGCGTTTTAATCTTCTTCCAAGCAAAGAATTCAGAAAATGGAAATAGGATCTTAAATAATTAAATTCCCATAAGTTCATATATTATATAATACATACCTGAAACAAATCTGCATCTAATTTTTTTATCATCCTTTTAAGAATATTCAGTGCAAGACTCTCTTCCTTTTTAGCCCAGAAAACCTGAGCTTCTTCTAGTTGCCATTCAGAAACTTCATAAACTGATGGATTGTATTGTTTGATCTGAAACATAGCTCTTTCTGGAAGCTGAAATTGAAAAAAACATTATAAACAATTCTTTAAGTGAAATACGTGATCTTGCAGCAAGTTTTGCTTTTAAACTCTGTCTCTATTTGCTCTACTAGTGCAGCATATTCTTCCTATCCAGTGCTAAGAATATATTGAATGCAAACAGATGAAGTTATTTTTCTATATACTTCCAGAAATCTGGATTTGCAACAATGGACTATGGAATTAAACTTCATAAGCTCCAAAATAAAGTATCGATGTTTAACTTTTTTGATTACTTGAAGTTATAAAGTATAGAAATTCTGCAAACTCTAGCTACTTAAATAGTGAATATATTACTTTAGCTTAGTAATTATTATTATGTTCAAAGAGTCGCAGAAAAATAAGAAAAATGGCACTGCCATACACTAATTATTTTGTATTCCTCCCATGTTACTTGTATTACTGACGAAGTAACATCCTCATTATTTAGTAATCTGATATCACTATGAAAGTACAAAGAGCAAACTATTGTTTGAACAACATCAGAGACCAAGATTAAAGTGTATTTTAACAAGTTGTCCAGTGAATAACCAAATCAATCAAACTTTTAAGTTTTTTTTAAGTGAAGTAAACTATTACAATGTAAGAAGTGGCTACTTCAATTAGTGGTCAGCATGATGATTCTGTATGGCACACTCTTCCTTCTCTTGAATGATGGTAGTGGCACCAAAGAGGAAGAAAAGGTGTAAGCTGCAAAGAGTGCTTCCTCAAACTTTTCCACATCCAGACGGTTGGCATTGCCAACTACTAGTATCCTAAAAGGAAAAGGTTCTCAACCCATGGTTTGAAAACCTGATACAGCCCAGAAGAATGTTTGCACATAACCTACAACACTGAAGAGGCAGTGTTTTCAGAAACACCACTGGCTCAATCTTTCAGAACCTTGTAATACATCCAAAATATGGTGCCCCAATTTTAATCCTCCGTAATTAAAAATCAAAGTGGAAAAAAAATAACCTCTTCTGAGGCTCTTACAGGACATTCAACACCACCAGTGTTGGTGGATGGGCAGGCATGAGATAAAAAATTTCTGTAGAAGTAATCTTCCCAAAAAATTCTGGAGACACTGAGTAAATTTTGCAAATCTATAAAAGACAGCTGTTCTACTGATTTCATCATTAGTGACAAAAACACTTAGAACCTTCTGAAATCAAAGTGCCCTACAGTTTCACATATGTGAAGTGTTAAACATCTTTCCAGGTTATATATTTAGGTGGAACTATTTTCTGCAGAGGTTCTTGAAGAATGTTGTTGCTCTATAAATTCTTGTTGACTTACTCCTCCAATGTACTACGTCAGACAAGCCACGGCTAACTCTGAACCTTAAATGCAGTAGCAGCTGCAGAAAGCACTGATACTAGAAATCCCACTAAGTCATCACTGAAAGAGATTTACCGCAGTGCAATGGTGCTTTGAGGGTATAAAACTTTGAAGACAATACTAAATATACAGATTCAGTGGGTTCTTTCTGCAGCTTTACTCTGGAACTCTACAAATATGATGCAAGTGAAAGCTGGATGTATAAAATTGCACCAAAGTAAAGTAACAAAGCTATAAGGGTATTCTTCCCTAAAAACTTAATTTTTATATTCTCTACCTCGTAGAGTAGCTTACAGTTATGAACAAAATTCAGCAAATATGCCCATAAATGATGATACAATTTATGAATAAGTTTTACATAGTTTAAATCTCTGTATTTGATCCGTTGAATAAACTTAGAATACAGTTAATCCTTAGTACTGTTAAAAAATGAAGTTCTTTTATAATCTAAAAAAGTATTCATCACTGAGCTTTCCTGGAATTTGATACCTGTGTATTTTTAGCAGTTCTTGCCAATCTAGAGAGCTCCACTAGATGTTTGGTTAGGATGTTTTTAATACATTCTCTTTTGGTATTTTCATTCTCCTTTTCAAGCAAAATCTCCAAAACTACAGTGCGCAGAGCCATAATCGGCTCCTGGAAACGGAAGTCACTGTCCTTGAGAAGCTGGGACTGTCTCTGCCACTTCAAGTAAGTATCATTCAGTTGTTGAGTAGTAACAGATCTGCAATTGTTACAAAAAAAACCCCAAAAAACAAACACAACATATTATTAATTCTCACTAAATATTAGTGAAGCACAAGATGAGTAACGAAAGTAAACTATGAAGGTAGTTCACAATGTACAGTTCAAAACCAACAAACAATCCACAAAATCCTGCAGTGATTAATATACAGAATAAACTGGCCAGCTTCCAGTTTCAACGAACACAAAAACCAAGAAATCAGCATTAGTTAGGTGAACAACTTGACTGTAAATATTCCTGATTAAGCACCAAAAACTGCTGTGTTAAAGGTTCATCAACAAAGGGAAACACATTCAAACACACAGCTACTTAAAAGATTAGAGACCAAGATTTCTATTTTATGATATAGGTCACATAAGGATTAATATAAGAACAAATCCCAAACTGTGACATTGTAGCACTGTAGGTTGTCATTATATGTATTATTTTCTTATATGATTCATTAACTGCAAATAGCAATGGTTCATAACTGGCCATGCTAAATGACTCCAGGATGACTATAAGCCACCAAACTGATAAAGATATAGCAGAAAAAAATCAATGGTAACAGCACTACAGAGATAAACACCTTCCCATGACTAAAATGCAATATTAAGAAATCAGGTAGATGCTATGCTAATAGTAGCCTGTGAAGAAAATTACTCAAACTGAAACAACTTTTAATGGATCTATGGATATCATCAAGGAAATGTACATTTTCCAAAAGGAAACTAGAAAAGGATGACTGATTTACTTTAGTAAACCAAAGACTAGGAAATAAGACTGCTACCTTGAAGTATACCAGGAAACTCGAAACAATGGAAAGAAAACAGTTATTTAAAATAGAATATTGGCATAATATCAAGTAATTAAAACTAGAGGACAAGTAAATCCAGTCTGGAAATCTAGATTTGTCTTAACATAGTAAAGTTAAAATATGTATAATTTTTAAGATGAAGTTTGAGATGTTAATGAATCAAATTTTTTGAGGCAATTTTATTTTTGTTCTAGACTTGATTACAAAAATCCTGAAAACTGAGAAAGGAGTATGAAACAAGCCTGAAAAATTACCTGGAGAACAGCAGACCTATATTTTCTAATTCTCCAATTAGCTGTAGTCTGCAAAGTGTTGGGTATAATGAATAAACAGACTCAAGACTGCCTTTGCACAGCTCTTCTACTTCATTCACTCTATGGATTTAACAGAGAAATAGTAAATTATTTTATGTATAGATATCCACAAAAAATTCTAAATATCCCTAACAATTTCCATACAGTGAACAGAATTTAAACAGTGAAATTAATCCGTTCAGAATTATTTTGTATTATCATTAAAGCTTAAAAAAAAAAAAAGTTTGTCAATAAATGAAAACACAGAAATCATATTTCAAACCCTGTGTGTCAGCTCAGCTAAAGAAGAGCAGTCAGCATGCAAATCCACTTGAGAGGACAACAAAGTCAGGGTTGTACACTACAGGAATTAGTGTATACTACAGGAAATAGATCTTCAACTAGCACACAAATTGTATATGCACAAAAGACAAATTTGAGCTAAAGAACTTAGAAATGAAGTTGCAGTGCAGAAGTATTCTATGCATGAGTCTTTATTTAAGGCCATAAAACCCCATAACAGTCGTTTATACATGACTTGTGACTACAAATATGCACTCTCTGTCTCTCTCTCTCTGTAACAGCAGAATATCTGCATGCAGTTACCTGGCATCTTTAAGACTGTCATAGAAAGCAGAGAATTCCTTATCTCGTAAAGACTGAAGAGCATCATACAGTGATTCATGGTACCCTGGTCGTCCTGTGTCGTCTCTTCAACACAAAACAAAAGCAACATAAAATTTAAATTACATCTCTTTACGAAGAAGTCAATTTTTAGCACATTTTCTGAAGTAGATGGATTGCTGTTTTGTGTGATAAAAAAACAATGCAAACCTCTAAATTTTAATTTAATAATACATAAATTCAAGCTGTTCTTTTAAAACAAAAAAAAACCCCATGAGTTGCCAAATGAAATACAAAGAACATGTTCAAGGTTGTATAAAAAATACAACACAAAACCAATTGCTCAATAAAAATGTAATCATTACAAATTTCTCACAGTATTAAGCTGAAATACACATATTATGGTATGCAACTTCAGATCAGAATCCACAAGGTTTTTGTATTTAACCTCAGAAATATTTTTAAAAAGCAAAAGTCAAAGAAAATGAGAAAGTTGAAATAAAAAACAGTGCTCAATTTAATTTTCTCTTCTTTGTCCTTTACACTTTTCTTTCTGCTTCTCCTTGATCCTCCCCTTTCCTGCCATCTTATTCTCTCCCTTTTCATCTTATATGTTGTTTTTCTGCACCTGTATTAAACTGAATATTCTATTTGCATAAAAGGTTTATAATCGGAGAGGTTTATACAGACCCTAACTCAGGGACAAAGAGAGGCCACCTATATGAAGTTTCTCTTGATTATGGCGTGACATATGCTCTTCACCAGGACGTATCTGTGAAGTCCTCCATATGCTTCTGAACAACGATCGTACAACAGTGCAGGAGAAGCAAATGAACACACCAAGAGTATGCTCCCAAGACACATCTCTCTGTAAGAAACTTAGGAGAAGAATCCTCAATTCTCCTCGCTACTAATAGTTAATGTAGGAGCTACAGAAGACTACATCATGCAACATCTGCTTTTGCCAAAATGTGGTGTATCTATTTTGCATTCCTCCTAAAATGTGCAACCCCATAGCTGCACGAGGAGGTGAAATGCTGGGGTTTGAACCCCGAGCCTCGAATTAAGGTTGACATATGGGTGATTCCCACAGCCCTTCATAAAGAGGTGGTGAGTTTGCCTCATAGCTTCCCCCCAGGGTGCGGCCGGCCCTGCAGGGAGAGCCAGAAGGGAAATGAGCCCCAGGGGTCCCGCATTGAGTGAACAAAGGTCAGGTGTCTGCTTGGGGATAAAAGCTGGGACCACTTGCAGGGAGTCAGGAGTGTCTGTCTGTGGAGTGCACTCCACAGAGCTTCCTGGTTCAGGGAAGACCTCCTGACTCTACTTGGAGCTGGGCTCCAGTCTGCTTAAGACCTTTGTGAACGCGGACCGACTGGGTGAGAGTCACTATGTGGGCACCTTTCTCTTATGTGCTTAGCTTGCTGGTCTGGCTGTTTCCCATGCCAACTATGGGAAACCTCAGGTCTCTGTTTGCACCACCTGTTGTGGGCCGAGTCGTGTCGTTTGTGGGATCGTTGGGGGTGGTGTCGATCACGTCTGAGCTGGTTGACCTGTCTGTACCCCCAGTGATCATTCATATCATAACGTTTTTGTTTACAATACAGTCTGTGTATTGGATTCTCTTCCTGCTGGTGCTATCATTTTTGTTGGGCCTGGTCATTGGCAGAACAGGAGGGCACATAGTTCACACTAGATCCTGGCCAGTCACATGAAATAACTAATGCCAGGCATCCAACATTACACAAGGGAGGAGATTACTCCTTATGAGGGAATAGCCATGAATCAACACTGATGTTTGCTTATCCAGGTCTTGATAACCTCTTGTGGCTTACCAAGTAATATTTTCTCCATTTACTTATAAGCACTAAAAATTATCTATCCCTCATATTTATTTAAGGCACACCTACTATCTGAGTCAAAAATGGTAAAGTGGAATTTCTGGTTATAGACAGTCAAAAAGAAGAATCAACTGTGTGCAGTTTCCCAGGAAAATGAAAAGTGATGTGCATACAAACCACACAGCTCTATGTGAAAAAGACTGTTCTTCAGTTCAAAGACTAAGACAAATTAAGTGACCTGCTTCATAGGAATTATATTCTAATGTCATCTTTTTGCTAGGAATGGAAACCACTGTCTTTCTCTTAAAGAACTAGCAAGAAAGGTAAGTTGGTTTACTTGGCAGAGGAGCTGTGGCCCCACTGCATGTTCCGCCACGCTGCCTGGTAGCGCATCTCCTGCAGTTCCGCGCACCACTCCGTGTTCTCATGTTCCAGTCCTTTTAAATACGTGGACAGCGTGTGGCAAAGCCCAAAATTCTGCAAAGCCTGGAATGAACAAAATTACTGAAAGGTGGTTTTCTTCCTTTAATAAACTGAACTGTTCAACCTTCTCCATTCCACCATTCCTAGATCGTAAGTCATGTAGTAACTTCTGGTTTTACTGGTGGGTATTTGAAAAAGTTACTTACAACTTCTAAGCTTCTGATTGAAGACCAAAATGACTTTACAATTGTGACCATTTATCCAGGTTATTTGTGCAGCCATTATGAAGGAGAAACACAATGGAATTTTAACAATGATGCTAAATAATTTGGGGTAGGAAAAGAAAATGGGGTACAAATTTGGGGTAGGATAGGAAAATGAAATGAGGGGAAACACAGATATACCTGTACTATGTCATTACAGAATTGGTGTAAACTTTTTTAGACTAAAAAAGCAATATATTTTTAAGGGATCAAAACAAGACAACGTGAATTCGATTTATCAGAAATACCAGTTTCAGTAAGAGAGTTGCCATAATGGAGAGATTTAAAGAATGAGATGGCAAAAAATAACCAATTACATTACTTTTTATATCCCATCATTTTAGGAGCTGGCCAAATTCTGTATAAAATTAAACATATTTATGCTGAAATATATCACAAAATTCATTAAGCAAGACAGGGATTACAGGTGACTGATAAGAGGACTGGAAGCCTTAATTTCTTCAGGACAAATACGTAGTTGTCTTATACAGTACAGATGCCTATGACAGTGTGCTGGACTTCATGACTGAAGAGATTTCTTCTAGTCCTAATGATTTTTCATTTTCTACAAATGACTCCCAGTACTATGGATATTAATTCCTACATTCATTTCCCATTATAAAATAAAATAATATTACCTCTATTATTCCTGCCTGGCGAGTAGATGGAGAGAGGCTTGACTCGAGGTCATATGTTACAAGGGCTTTCTCCCACACTGCTTCGTGCTCATACGTTCTTATCCTGTTGTAAGTTAACAAGAAGTTTCCAATTTAAGTTCCTTACTAATAAATGAAAGCAATGACTTTAAAAAAATAAGACTATCAACAAATTGTACCGTGCTAATGGCTGTAACATTCTTCCTCCACCACAACCGTAGAGACTGTCAGGTTCTCCAATGCTTCTATATATGTCCATGAGAAGGTCCTAGAATAACGCGTCATAAAATGAAGGACTGCCTCTTTTGGAATCAGTTCAAGTGAATTTTATGCATACCATGTAAGCTTATAAATACAAATCCTTCCAGGTAACGTTTTTATAAGTGTTTGATTTTCCTTTATGCCATATCTGAGCCTGCTATCCTCATAGGGAGAAAAGTTTTGCAACCTAACAAAACTCTTCTGGACTACCTAACTTCTCTGCTAAGTTATTAAAAAAAAAAACAGCACTGGACCTTAGGTGAACTAGTTGAAAACCAAAAGGCAGCAGTACTGAATGGGCACCAGACATGCCATTTAAGCAACGGTTCTGGAACAATGAACTATAGAAAGAGGTAACGTAAACAAGGCCACTGAATCAGAGTTTATGTATCAAATAAACTTGTAGGAGATATTACTTTGGCTTTGATTATTACAACTTGCTACACCACTTGCTGATTTTTAATGAGTGTATCTGTCTGACAAAAAAAGAAAAGAGAAAAATACTTGTCTAGTACCATCATGAGGTCAGTTCTTAAGGGGAAGAAACTCTGCTCTGCTGAAGTTTAAAATTTGCCAGTTAATTAGAGTTTCAGGTGATTGAATACTCAATTTAACTTGTCTGACTGAACTGGTGCATGAGAAGAACTTTCAAATACAGTTTTTAAGTTTGACTAGATCTGCCTGCAGCTCAGATGAAACCTATGGTGAGTTGTAATTATAAGAGAATGTTTGCTGTCAGATTATGAAGCCGTACCTGTAAGCTTATGCCAGTTTCTTCTTTACTTTTTTCATTCAAACTAGTAATAGTTGTTCTTTGACTTTCTTCTTCAAATGTCAAACTCTTAGCTGCTTTAAATGATGACCTAAAAGAAATGTTTCAACACATAAAGTTAAATGAAATGTCATACAAAGAACTAAAGAAATTCTGAAACAACACTGAAGACCTAAGAGGCACAAACACCACGTGCAAGATTGCCTGTCATATCCCAGGTTACTCAAAACAGCTCTCCACCAGAATGGCAAAGTGACCAGCTGAACTGAGAGTATCAGCATCAAGGGATTTCAACATCCAGGTGTTTTTCAGAGACACCCCCCTTCACCTTGCAATATCTAATCTTTTATTAAATCAAACTGCTTTTGTGAATGCCTGAAGCAAGAATACTCTCTTCTGGGAAAGAATAAAAGCAACTACATAATACATATGCTTACGACCATACTTTTGTAATACACTGACTACCTCAAAGTGATTTATTTCCAAAACAAAGCTAGCAAACTAGTTCCACATTTTGATCTTGCTAGACCAGAAGACAAAGGTAACTGTCTAATATAGAAGAAAACTCTGACAAGGACCATTCAGCTTCCACACAATTCTGGTTGTTATTCTGTGGTTTCTTTCTCTGCTTGATTCACTTCTGGCTGCTGTTTAGCCACTAGTAAACTATCAATGATGAGAAACAGAACCAGAGAAGTGTTCAATTTAGAAAGTAAGATTCAATACATTTTGGTATTCAGAAGCTTTAGTGGAGCTTCTACAGAATACACATTACCAAGAAAACTTCTTGGTTAGAAGTCAAAATGACACTATTTTGAGTGTGCCACAGCTAGCAAACTAGCAAAGCTGGGATCACACTCAAGAACTGGCTGATGGATTTTCCAGGCCAACACACACACATAAGGAATTTTTTTAAAGTTTCTTTGACTCTTCCCATAACAACACTACTGGGACACACAAAATGGTCCATTTTACCCAAAAGTTAAGAAACTGCATTCCTCATGCCTTATACCTTTCTTGCTGTTTGTCTATGTTTATCTTGTCTGCGTAGATTTCTGTGTAGAGCAAGGCTGTGAAGTGAGCAGCACAAGACTGTGCTGCTATAGCAACCTCAAGATAATTCAGGTCTAGCCAGAAGCTGTCATCAAAAACTGTACCTGAAATAGATCTGATTAAATAAAGACTTTAATATTGCTGTAACAGACCTTCTCTGTAACATTAAACAAAACCAATCCAATCTAACTACAAAGCCTTCCAATTTTTCTTATTACTAATTTTATCTTAGCCCTCCCAAAACTCATACCACAAAAAGTTTATCAGACAAAATGTTTTTAGAAAACTCCTTCAGCATAGCCAGAATCCTTTAAGGCTAGCCATATCACTTCTGTAAGACATGCAAGGTCACTATTACTATGTCTTCATTCTTTGATCTCACATGTTCTCCACAACATCCTTCTTCCTTAATCTAGAGTCTCAACAGATCTTAAATCTGTCATATCCAAATTAAAGCAACATTTTTGAAGCCTATAATTCACCTCCTTTGTCTTCGTAAGTAATCAACAACAGCAAGCATAGATCGTCGAGATACTTTATCCAGACTTCTGGAATTCTGGGTTTCTTGATCTGGGATGTGTAATTTGAAAGAAAGATTATAACCAAGTTCTGTCACAACACATCCATTTACAAAATAAAAACGTATTTTTTACTCAAGAAAATAACTCAGAACTTCCTCGAATTGCATTTCCAAATTTAAACTAATAGTTTGCCACAAAAATGTATTTCCCCTCCTTATATGATGTTAGTGACATTACAGTTGTTTATACCACAATTTTCTTTCTCAGACTACCTTTGTAGTAATAATTCTAAATTCAGCAAGTAATAAACGTTATCCAGTAGTGAATAAGGAAAGAAGTTATACAGAACAAACTACTTGTGTGCTGCCAATGAACACATTCAAAATTACTGATATCTACACTGAGAAAGACGAAACAATTGGACAGAAGCTTCTAAAATTCTGTCTGCCTACAAGTGCACATCACACATTTGATGTCAGAAGACAATTTTTTCACAACCAATATTCCTCCTTCAGTGGAAACATAAATATTATGACTTTACCTGAATCAGAATTTGGAGGTGTAGTAGATCTACTAGATGAGGCAAATCTGCAACAGGCTGTAAAAAACTTGTGGATGTGATTTGACAAAAGATTTCTCCAAGACTCATCTGGGTCATGAAGAAGGATATCATGAATCAGGTATGGAAGCAAAGTTTGACACAAGTCTGTTTTCACCTAGAAAACAATCATCCACAGCAGCTGCTAAGAAAAACAACCAAAAGCCTTTCTTTCTCAGATTATAACCAAACTGACAACTAGTCAAGCAAACATGTAATGCTGGAGAAAGAACAGGTAATATGAAAAATGTAAACCACTTAATCGGGCTATACTGGTATTCAGTTAAAGCAGTCATACAAAGTTCACCTATGTTTACAACTATCTTCCAAAGCTTTTATTTTAAGAATGTATTTGATCTGTATCTACAATATCTGAATATGAAGGATCTGAATTACTTAAGAAGTTAAGAAGAAGTAGTAACTTTATTAGTAACTTACTTAGGGAAAAACAGTCACTTGGCAGAAATTACTATTTGCTATCAAGATGAGCAATCATGTATTTTTGTGCGCCACAGGGCACATACATACATACAGATAATTTAGCTCACCTCACACAGTGGCTTCATTAGCTGGAGAACTTCATTTTGCACACCTCCACTGTCCAGTATTGAACTGGTTAAGCGCTTGATCCAGGTCTCATGACTTTCTCCTAGAGGAATCCACAGGTTGGTGTCATCCAAAGTTTCTAAAGAAGCCTCTGTATCATTAGCAGGTACTACAAAACACTAGAAGGAAAAAAAATATATATTGCAAATATAAACAAATTCTACAGCATTTAAGAAAACCACACTGCAATCTGTACAGATTAAAAGATATTAAATATTGACTGTGCTTTAATTGATTGACAATATCAATTTTGACCATGTAAATGTAAAGTTTTCCAAAGAAATTTGGAAGTACTAAGAATAAAATTTTACTGATAACGTCAACAAGGCCACATCAGACATCACATTCAGGTTACAAATCAGAAGTTGAAAATTAGGAAATATATGATTTTTGGTTAATTAAGCACCTTCTTTCCCTGAACTATTTCCCACTGAGTTTTTGCATCAAATGATACTGAAATCCTGAGAAAGAATGTACTAGATTACCAAGCAGGTAATCAAAAATGGTTTAGTAATGAAAGTACACAACCTTCTAATGTCAAATTGGTAATTTCCTATGTGAAGAAGCCATAAATGCTGAAAGAGAAAGGAGAAAGAGATGTACAAAAGCAATGACATTTGCAGACAGATGAAAAGTCCAAATTTTGCATTCATCAAAGCCTAGCAAAAATATTTTCAAATTTACTTTTTAAAACATATGTATTTTTATGTTTTTTCTACCCCATATGCCATATAAATAAGGTGTATCAGAAGTACCTTTTTCCTAGACATCCTGAAAGGCTGCAGATAGATTAACATGGGATCAGCTTCATTTTTATAAACTTCCCAAAATTCACTGCCAGACTTGGTGCCTAATATGTTTTTCAAACAGGAAACAGCAGCAGCTCTAACATCAATACTGAAAGAATAACATACACAATATCTTCCTTATTAATTTCATTCACGTATTTTGTTTTCATATTCACCTTTATAAGCACACAAGACAAATAATTCCACAATATAACATGTGCATCAAACCAAAAAAATTTAGACTAGGATATGCCATTGCATATTTTGTTATAAAGCAAAGCCTCAGTATTTACTCCACAGCACTGCTACCCTCTACAGCACAGAAGGGTCTCTCTGGCTCAAGTCCAACCAGCAAACTTTGAGGAAACAGTAAAGCTTGACTGGATAAATAATCTGAGCCTTGAAGAAGCACATGGTTGGACAATCAGAGGTGTTATTAAAATTTCCTGAGTGTTACTCTGAAGTGATTTGAATGGCTTCTATTAAGCTTTGAACTAAATAAAGTAAGTATACTCACCAATTATCTGTTAAAGCAATATTTATTTGAGTTAACATTATGAAGACCCATTGAAGTGTTCTATCTTCAAGCAAGTCTACTGCTTTAGAATCCAGTGCATTTTCACGCTGAAGAGCTATGGTGGAGAAATCCATGGGACCAATTTCTCCCAAGCAGCTTCCAACAGCCTCTGCAAATGCAGGTAATTTTACAGTCTCACACACACTAAAACAAGATCTCACTCTAAAAAGTTGCAATTAATATAAACTACTTTCAGAACTGAGATTACTATGAGGTAAAAAGTTGCAAATACTTGTAAATAATCACTGGAGGAGCTCTATGATTAAAACTACATGTATATAAACTTTGCAGCTTAAGACATAAATAAAACAGTTATGCTTTCTAACTAAATTTTCTAGGAATGCCTATGGCTCTGGATTTTGCAGTTTAAATCAGATATGAATTTATTTGTGCTTGAGTCAGAAACAGGTAAGTGCAAAAGGTCAGAATCACAGCTGCTAAGAGGCACTCATTTTCATTCCCTAAGGGTATTGTAAATACAAACAATAGCCTGTGAACACAAATAGTAACCTGCAAATTCATTGAGAATTAACCTACATTTTACATAAAATGATGTATCAGTGTGTTCCTCATTTGATTTCAGACAAAGTATTTTATAAAAATATGACTACCTACCAGAAAAAAAAAAACGACCTTGAAAATATTTTTTTAAAAAAGGGATGGTAATGTTTGTTACAAAGAAACCAAAATCTATTTCCCTGCTCTTCCTTTCATACTCAGATATGTGTCTTGAAAATGTTTCCACTTTCTACAACATTGTTTAAACCACCAGAGCAAATAAAAACAGATTGAAGATATACACTCTGTGTTTTGAATGAAATTTAGCAAAACAGCCAAGGAAACACAATGCAGAAAAGGCTGAAACATGGAGCTTGCAGAGGTGCTGAAGAAAGAAAGTATCATAATGAAGTCAATATGAGCTTCAATTGCTCACCATTTTTAATTATCAGGCTTTTAGACAAAAAAAAATATATTGAGGCAAATATTCTCATTACTTGTGTTTCTGTCTAGTTCAGACATCTAATTTCAGTAAACATCACATTCACAGAGATACTTGGGGAAGAGAAGATTTGGATTTTTGCTTTGGATCAGACATTAATGAAGTGCTCAACCTAAATGGTGAGAAACATTTTAATACTGAAGAGGTTTAAGACCGAGAACAACTATTTTAATCTCCACTAAGACACACCTTTCAAATTTTCAGATAAGTTCCATTTTTCCTATTCTATTTCAGCCTAGTGACATGACCCATAAAACAGCAGACGACTCTTCACTAAGCATAGAAGACACAAGGGTCTAAACTGGTCATTTAAGCTATTAAAGTTGTAAAATACTGAAAAGAAGACGCATCATCAATTTTAACATTCTTGATGGCTACCTCTGGAGTAAATGCAAAATAGCAGTGGGAATTACTACTGAGAACAGTCACAGTGTCAGCCTGGGGTCTGCAGCGACAGCCCAGGGATGCCTGCAGGACTCAGTCACTCACCCAGCACCGCTTTTGCTCCCGTATGGTTAACGGCCAGCTTGGACAGCTGCAGTAAGCTCACCACCAATTTCACTACTACAGAATCTTCTGGCTTCTCTGTCATTCAGAAAGAAAAAGAAAAAAAAAAAAGTCATTGTGCATTTGTAATGTGAACATATTAGAAGGAAACACTTCAGTATCTTTAATCTACAAATGTCAACATGTATTATTAATGTTGAAGCAAGGTGGTATTAAACAGTACATTAAAAAATGTATTCATTTTTTTTTATCAAATCTTGAAAAAATTTCTATGCATTTGATTATGCCCAAGAATCCCACAAAACAGAATACACAACTGCTATTATTTTCAGCGCTTTGATGTAGAAATTATAACTAAATACATTAAATATTAGCATAAGCTGGTGCAATAATATCTCAAACGTGAATTCATACTATGTGACCCCATGGACAGCACTTAAGCTTATATCATCATTCTGTTCTAAATGTGAACCCAAGCAATATCCCAAAATAAGGCTTTCTGAAAGGAATTTCACATAATTTAACTACCTTTCAATTCCCTAATTAACTGTGCCAAATTATAAACTCTGAAGATATGTACTTCCTTATGTATTTGCTGCCTGCATAAGGGTTGTTTGTTTGTTTTAAATAAACATTCCAAAGTAGTTTTGCTGCTTCCAGGAACAATGTCCAGGAAAACATATGATGATTTGCCAATGTACAAAAACATAAAAGCAGAATTTTCTTTAAAAAAATCAAATCCTGCTGCCCTGTTGATTGGAATGAAAGCCTGGAAATGGCCTTTCTACTTGTTGACGTTTTTAAAAAAAATGAATACACATGTGGCCAAACTGCAGCAGTTATCTCTTAAGTGTCATCTTTCAGCATACAGTTTTATAGCCTTTGTCAGCAATTGTTTATTTTCATTCTTTTAACACCTAAAATAATCACAGAACTATAGAATGGGTTGAAAAGGGCCTTAAAGATCATCTAGTTCCAACCCCCTCCCATGGGCAGGGACACCTCCCACTAGATCAGGTTGTTCAAAGCCCCATCCGGCCTGGCCTTGAACACTTCCAGGGATGGGGCATCCACAACCACTCCAGGCAACCTGTTCCAGATTCTCTCAGTAAAGAATCTCTTCCTAATATCTAATCTAAATCTATGGTCTTTCTGTTTAAAAGTGTCAGCCCTTGTCCTGTCGCTACACTCCCTGATAGAGAGTCCCTCCCCAACTTCCCTGTAGGCCCCTCTCAGGTACTGGAAGGTCGCTACAAGGTCTCCCCAGAGCCTCCTCTTCTCCAGGCTGAACAACCCCAACTCTCTCAGCCTGTCCTCACAGGAGAGGTGCTCCAGCTCTCTGATCACCTTCATGCCCTTCCTCTGGACTTGTTCCAATAGGTCCACATCATTCTTATGTTGTGGGGCCCAGAGCTGAACACAGTACTAATGAAGGTGATAATAATAGAGTTAATAAAGCAGTAATAATAAAGTTATTTTAACTACTAATAAGACTTCTAGCATAAGACAATAACAAGGCAACAGGTCCATCAGGCCTGCTAGCCCACCTCCAGCAGAGCAAGAGTTTTTCTTCTCAGGTTTTGCCAGTCAACAGATTGGGGTGTTCTGAGTAGGTCTTCATATGTAATAATTTCTATGAGATATGTCTAACTCCTCTTGAGGTCCTTTATGCTTCTGATCTCCACTTTAAGTGGCATCAAGTTCCACGCTGTATATATTTTGTTTGAAATAAACCCTGTGGTTTCTCTTGTATAAGTGCTGCCAGATAATTTAATCTGTTCTTGTACTGAGGTAAAAGTGCAAAGTGTTCCCTACTTCATCATAGCATTCATCAATTCATACACCCCTCTGTATTCCTCTTCAATTTTTTTTCCAAGCTCAGAAGGCTCTCCTCTGAGGCACTAGCTCTACACAAGCTTGCTGCCCTTTTACCAACTCTCTTTTTGAGCAGAATTCCAAGATTAAAAGTGTAAATTTTAGTCAAGATACAGAGATGTAATGCACTTACATCACCGTCTTACGACAGACTAGTATTCTTCCCTAAATTTTACTCTGTACTTGTTTACAATTAATTACATCAGCTCTTTTTATCTTCCCATCACACACACAAGCTGATCAAAACAATTTAGAGGAGAAAAGTGAAATGGTCTGGCACAAGCCTCTGAAAATCAAAATAGGAAGCAACTGGGTCTGGACTGAAGGATAAAACAGAATGCTGAGACACGGCAAGGTTCAACTAAACTGAATCCTACTGTTTTAAAACTTCTGTGAGCTTTACTTTTCAACATACAATGCCATTAATAAAATCTAGCTTCATTACATTTAAAAAAGTAGGGAGATTCATACCGAAGAGACCTCATTAAGCAGCCATAAAGCAGCATACTCATGTTATACATTATCCTGGTCAGTCACACTCATAAGTGCCTCATGCCAAAAACTGGAAGGACATTTTATCCTCTCTGCCATGTAACACCTCGTATGATTATTTATAATACTCTCTACTAAAGACACATCATTTGCATGAGTAACAAATGCCATTCTACTATGCATGTGAAAAGATAATAAGGTTACATTATTAAACATGCAAAAACCAGGAGACAAATTAAAACACTTGGAGTCCATTTAGAACAGGGTTACACGGCTACACACCTAAGAAAAAGACACAAAAGAAGTAAAATACATAATCAGATGTCAGTACCTTGGAAATTTTTCAGGAGATCCTTCATCTGATCTTTGTACTGCTCCAGTTGTTTGCGTAGATAATACAGTCCTTCCAGCCGCGTTAAGGGCAGAGAACCACAAACACCAACTGAGAGAAAGTGATTAATTTCCTGCAAAACAACACTTTGTTTTAAGCACATACATCACACAAATAAAGCCCTCAAGTAAAGAAGTGGCTCTCAGTAGTCCACAATGGGGATATTAATAAATGTAAAATGGGAATGGAGATCTACAGATATCTCAGTGTCTGAAACTGGCTATGAGAAGAATCCACATATCTAATTTAAATCCTTCTCAACTGTAACTACAGCTACAAAATTCTTTTTCCTTTGAAAGCTTGCATTACAATAACCACTATGCCATGAGTTATTTTTTAAAAAATAGTTACCTCCAGAAGAGAGTATGGTCCTTTACTGTATTTTATTTTCTGCTGAGTTGCTCGCAAATCTTTAAAAGCAGGATATTCAGGAAAAGGATCTAAGCACTTGATTGCTTGGTACAGATTTTCATTATCTTTATTATCTATCACCAGATACTTCAACAAGCCTAAGACCTGAACATAAATAAATGAAAAATAAAAGAGACAGAGAAACATTTTTGAGTCATATTCCATATTCAAGTTATAGAGTTTGTATTTCTCTAAGTTCCATTAAACTGAGAACTCCATTAAAAATAGTTATAGAATTTATTGACACTGTTAAAAAATACAAAGTGTTTAGAGGTTTGGGGAAATCACAGATATATTCTAAAATGGTAAGGGTTTTTTGCTACTCCCCCTCCCAAACAGACATGGAGCAAAGCTTTAGTTATCACAGCCTGTGGTTTTATCCTGTCTTTTGATGAAGCTGATTTCAAACACTGGCCAATACAATCCTTACAATTGTGGCAATGATTTAGCAACACACTGCACCCAAGCAGTACTTCTGATGTGTCCTGGTTCCGTGTAAAAAGGGGTTCAGGGCAGGACCCACACGGAACAGAACTATGTACTCGCCTCTCCCCCACCCCCTCGAGAGAGAGAGAGAGACACTTTTTAAAAAAATGAAGTATATTGTTCAACAAGGAACAGAAAACGAAAAAGGGGGGTAAGGAAAATAATATATATAAAGATCAGGGGAATAATACAAAAGATAAAATATACAAAACCCTCAGAAATGGTTCCAGGGTCCCACGGAGTGAAAGGAGAACTTTCCTCTCTGAGCTCCAAGGCAGGAGTGAAACAAAAAACCACTCCCTGCCTCTTATCAGAGTGTGTGGGAAGGGGAGGGAATACAATGGTTTCACCCCCACCTGGGGTCCTCCCAGTTGCTGGAAGGTCACGCCCCCATTCCAAGCCTCAAACCACAACATGATGTTACCAGGACTTTATTATTCTTGCTAACTAAAGTGCTGGCAATTTGAAATCCAGACAAATGCATAAATATCATAATTTACTGCCAAAATCACTGAACTCAGGCTGAATTTGTTTTATAACAGATCTACAACTGGAATAAATGCTTGCTGAAGAGGCACCACATTTTCTTCATAAAAATGTGCTTTTATGCTTCACTGAAAAATCAATGCAATGGGATATTCAATCCAGGCAGCTTTGAGGAGTCTCCAATCTACATGACAAGGTTTTTATTTGGAGACTCATCTTTACCTAGAAATTACAAACTAGCCTCCATTCAATGCTAGAAGCAAAGTAAAGAGAAGAAACTGAAAAGGGATCACAAAATGAAAGGATTCCTTGCATAAGTATCATAGAAGAAGGTTTTGTATTTGGTTTCAGTTCCAGTTCAGAGAAATTTCTGCCCAGGGATGTCCTGACATGTTGCCTTTGCAGTTGTGCATGTACAACTATTTGCACAGACGTGTATAAATCTGATCATGAAGCTGGGAAAAAGATGGCCAGATTATTTTCAGCTGGTTCAGCACAGCCCTCCAGCTGAACTGGAAGTAGAAGGACAATACAGGGCTACAATGCAGCCACAAAGATGTGTATGGTACCATGGGATCTGACTAAGCCAGCAAGCAACCATGGGGAATAGAAAACTCTCCATTTCCCTTTTAAGGCCTGTGTGCTACACTGATTTTCAATTATAGTTGTTAAATAAATAGCTGAACTACCTCTTTGTCCTCTAGACACCTTCCCCTTCCAAAGGTCTTCACTGTATTTCTTGTGAAATCATCCACAGAACTCTGTAGGTAACTGCTTGACTACTCAATGTGCTTGTACTGATGAGGTGGCCATCACCAGCAGTTCAGCAATGCCTACGTTCTCTCTGCCTCTTCCTTGAAGGTACCACTGATTTGGTGTCTCTAGTCAACTAAATTACCAATTTTTCTGAATCTTACCCTGAAGCTTTTGAGCTTCTTTCAGACTTGGTTGAGAAAGTCACACAGAGTAAAAGCAGACATAAAAGACATTAGAACAGCACAAAAGGTCTTTAAGAAATGTGATTTTTTATAGCTTAAATAAATAAAGAATTAGTAAGTGATACAGTAATCTCAACAATTATAATACAAATACACCTCACCACAATATCCGTCTGTTTAAAGCTGTAGGAATTAAATACAGAACACAATATTTGTCAAAACAGAAGTAATAAAAGTAAAAACACATTCTTTAAAAAAAAAATTAAAGGTATAGTGTTACACCCAAATAAGATTTTTTTAAAAATATATAAATCTATAAATCATAGAAAAAAGAAATTAAAATTGAACATAAGCATAGATAAAGCTTTAATGACAGTGAGCATGAACTAAAAAGCCAACAGATAAGGAATCAGCAGCAACTCAACACTACCTGTTCCTGAATCTTAGGCTGGTCCACGGCAAGAGGTGTTAGTGTTCCCACTATAACATGAAGGTGGTTCTCTAGAGCATCCTTGCAGCACGTAACTGCTGTGTGACAAACATGATGAAGAAGATCACAACAGAGGGAAAAGCTGCGCATGGATATTTCTCTGATAATCACAGGTCTGTCATAGGAAACAAAAAAGTGAAATTAAAGAAATACAAATTATCATTGTCGTTAAGTATTAACCTATCATACAGCAGGGGAGAATAGGGGGAAGGGAAGAATACAAATACATTTTATCGAAGAAACCAATTATACAGTTTAAAATTTATCAACTCAATCAACTCTAAGCATTTTGTTCAGGAGACAGAGGGGAACCAAAACAGAATTTGACTGATCACTTTTAAAACTGACCCCAAAAGAGTTTTAGATTATTATTTGCCAGAACAATGTTGACAGAAACAGAATAAAGCAGAACACACGTTCTCTGAACCCTCCTCTCTCTGACATAACCATTAGTGATCCTCTTCTACAAAGCTACTTTCTAGCCAGTCATCTCCCAAGCCTGCACTCACACATGGAGTTATTCCATCCCAGGTGAAAAACTTAAAGGTTGTCTTTGTTCAGCCTCACAATGTACCTGGTGTTCCACTCCAGCAGCTAGACGAGGTCCCTCTGAAATGCAGCCTTGTCCTCCAGTGCATCAACTGTCCCCATCCCAGTTCAGTGTTGATCACAATAGTAACTCCCATAAAAATGGCATTTACCACAGAATCCACACCCCTCTTCAACATTTCAGGGTATGAAATGCTTCCAACAAGCAAAGCAATCAATTTGCACTTAAACTCAGTGACATTTAAGTGAAAAACTGTCTTGGAAGTTCAAAGCTAAACCTCAAGTAATCTAGTCCTTATGAAAGATAAGAATCTGTATTTAAATTTTAAGCCTGATGAAGTACCAGTTTTCTCAATCTAAAGACAAGCTAAGATAACAGCAACTGTTTCTCACTCATTTTGTTAGATACTTACTGTTGAGAATGTAAATGTCAGTACTCTTTATCTAAGGATATTTTATTTGACATGTGCTTACTTTGCACTTAATTCCATGATTTGAATTAGTCTCCCCTATCCTTTAAATGGCCAAACATCCTTTGAATCACAAAAATCTCCCAACACTTATTTCTACAGTGCTGCAGTACAGTGACCATTTACATATGAGGACAACACAGAACATCCCACATTTTAATAAGATTAATACATTTAAATTCTGAAATTATCAAAGCAAGGCAATTTATTTTTTTCTTCCACCAAATTTCAATTTTTTCTACAAATGAATTAACATCTACTCGTGATACTGAAATGTAAGGTTAGAAGAACAAGATATAATTTTAACAGTATTTACCTGCTATTGATGTGGTGTATCAGGGTGTAAATTACATCCCGGAGAACAAAAGCCCATGCTCCTCCTAAACCATCTTTTATCTCTTTGAGTAACAGAGTAACAAACAAGTGATAAATTATAAGAACTCTGTGTTTCTTGTAAATATTGTTTGTATCTGATGCATGTTTACAAAGGGCTAGAAGGATTTTCTGGAATGAATCCTAAAAATGAATAAACTATGAGTAAAAACCAATTCTTAATCGCAATACAGAAAAATTTTTTGTCAAGGAAAAAAGCATTAGAGCTGTACTTATATGTTTTTCTTTTTTTTAAGGACATGGGCAAAAAGGATTTATTATTTTTACTGCTTTAAACAAACAAAAAGATCTACATAGAAACCAATTCACCAAGGAGGACTGTAAGCCCCATAACTCCTAATTTTCTCTTTTTTTTTTTTTCCCCACATGAGAAAGGTTATGTATGTTTTTCAGGAAACCAAACAGTTATGGTATTTTTAACCAACAGGAGAAGCATCAGATAAAAGCTACTAAAACATTGTTTAGTGCTTCAATCTATATTCTTTCAAATAAAATGTTCACACATACAAAATGCACTATTTCAGAGAATATATCAATATAGATCTAAATATTAAAACTGTAAATTTCAACAAAACCCTAACTATCTTAAAATACTAGGCAGGTTGTGTTACATTTTAAAGAATTTATTCCACTGGCTGGCAATATTAACTTCGACACTCAAAAGACTTAGACTAACATGGCCCAGAAAAAGTTTTTTTTTAAGATTGTTTATGGATAGGCAAGTAAGTTGTTGACAACAAATGCAATAAAATAGTATAAACTTTGAAAAGATATGTTTCTAAGGAATGATGTTACAAGATAGTAAAATGTTTATGATTTATTGCAAGGGCTGCATAATTTTATATTCATTTGTGCTTGCCTTTAACAGCTGAAAATCAGATTTCTAAAAATATCACAGACTATAAAATTTCACACTGTCAGTAAGCGAAGCAACCTTTAATATCTTAATTGTATATAACAGTTAGACAAAATGGTCCAAATGTAATTAAAATGTTCTTCAGACATATGCCAATGAAATAAATTGCATCTAAATTGTCTGATACACACAGATTTTCCTCCGTTTATACATGATTTTGTGTGTATTATGTAATGCGTGTAATAGTTCGAGCATGTAATTTTTGTAAACTAACTGGTTCCTGAACTTAGGACTTCTTCCATTCAGAAAATGTTGTATTCTTTTTTCTCATATATACGTGACAAAAATGTCTAATTAAATCAAAACATAGCTATAAGAGAAATTTCACATTCTACAGAAAAAGAAAACGATCATTACATACTTACAGGGCTTTTAGAAAGAACCGCTACAAGACTTTTTAATTTGCTTTTATGACAATTGCTAATGAAGTCCAAGGTTGCTTTAATCACATAAGCTGGGAAATGAGGAGGATTAGGAGCAGGATCCAGTTCCCTAAATGAATAGAAGAGATTTAATTCTTTTTCTTCCCCAGATCAATCCCCATGTCTTAAATAAAATGTCTCATTGAATAAACATGTAACTCCCAGGATATCTTTTCTGCTTTCAGTAAGTAAGAAGCACCAAGAGCATCCAGCAGAGTCACAAACACCTTATTTTTAGCTGCCTGCTGCCCATCTACAGCAGCTTTCCAAGTTGTACTTTCTTAATATTTTTTAGTTATTTTTTTGAAAGATCACATTGCTAAAATCCCACACATTTATCTCACGTAAGGTACTTGCATAGAAAAATCGAATTGCAAGACATGGCTAAAGCTTCTGCATTTTGTAATTATGGCAACTATTTGGTTGAGGAAAAAAAGTAATCATGAATCCCTCCATTATGGAAATAAAGGGTAGTCAACTTTCCTGAGACCTCAAAAAGCAAAGAAATGCATAGTGAAAACTAATTCAAAATAATTTTAAATTTGAACTCATCTAAATTGGCATTGCCATAGTCCAGCCCACCAACACACAATGGCAGTCTCTTGCCCACCCATGAACTGAAATATTACAGAGGTTCTCCTGACTGTTAATGGGGAATAACCGTGTGAGAAAGCATGTCTATGATACATCACTACTAATGACAATAAAAGCCTTTAATTCTCAGTTTCGGGCCACTTCTTACTCCTGAAGGGCACATTTTAATGCATCATGTTATACAAACACAGTGTTTAGACAACATACAAACACATACCTTGTATATTTACTTAGGTGAGCACCTTCTTCTATCGTGCTATCAAGTGGTTCATGTAAGGTCATCAACAGTTCAACCACAATCTCTGGTAAGTTATCATGCGATAAATTGTCTATTTGCTAGAAGGAGGAAAATAGCCTCTTAATAAGAAAAATATTTTAGTTAACATTTCTTCTCCTTCTGAGAAAACTAATTTTTTTCCTGTCTGGATTCTCTGTTTGTTCAATCCTCCATGGCACATAATTCTTTCAGAAATTAAGCCTGGTTAAGTCTTATCTATGGCTGTCACAGATAGAACAATTTACTTTCTTATAGTATCTGGGAAAAAAAAAATTTGTTTAATTCTACTATTAGTTCTGAACATAGAGTCTGCCTCTTGAAAGAAGGCTCCTCATAAGGCATCAACAAAGTATTTTAAGAGGAAAACATGACTTCAGTATATGACAGGGAATCTCAGGGTTGTATAAGGAATTGAATAGCTACTCAAAAACCTTGGCATAAAAATTTGGCTAGTTTGTGTTATTAAAGTAATATCTATAAATATATAAAATATAAATAAATACAAAATAAATATAAACTTCCTAAATATATAAAAGTTTATTTCAGATCTGTTAAATGTCACAGAACTCAATCTACAGATTTAAAACAGATACCTGTTTTCCTAAGCAGTTCTCATCCTTAAGCATGTCATAGACTTTAGAAGCTGTATCTCTT